TAACATCTACTTCTTAATTATGTTACAGTTACTCATCAAGTACAGTGTAATTAAGAAGTAGGTGTTACAGTTACTCATCAAGTACAGTGTAATTAAGAAGTAGATGTTACAGTTACTCATCAAGTACAGTGCCTACTTCTTAATTACCATGTACTTGATGAGTAACTGTAACGCCTACTTCTTAATTACACTGTACTTGATGAGTAACTGTAACATCTACTTCTTAATTACACTGTACTTGATGAGTAACTGTAACATCTACTTTTTAATTACACTGTACTTGATGAGTAACTGTAACGCCTACTTCTTAATTACACTGTACTTGATGAGTAACTGTAACACCTACTTCTTAATTACACTGTACTTGATGAGTAACTGTAACACCTACTTCTTAATTACACTGTACTTGATGAGTAACTGTAACACCTACTTTTTAATTACACTGTACTTGATGAGTAACTGTAACACCTACTTTTTAATTACACTGTACTTGATGAGTAACTGTAACACCTACTTTTAATTACACTCTTCTTGAAGAGTTACTGTCAGCGGAGACAGAGAACTCAGTTTCCTCCTTGTTTTAGCTAACTATGTAAGTCTGCTCCAGTTAGTCAGTTAGAGTGTAGATAGAGAACTCGGTTTCCTCCTTGTTTTGTTATGTTTTAACTAATTGAGTATATATGCTCTGTGTAGCCTCGGAGAGTGAAGGAAGTTCATTCACTCTTTATAGAATAACTTTATATAGTTCAGCATTACAGATAACAGCAAATAGCCTTAGTAACTTTGTCATGAATACAAAATTATAAAATATGCAAAAATTCTGATAGAGCTGAAAAGTAGCAATTAGAATTATTGTAACTCAAAAAGTTGTTAAACATAGAACGTAAGACAACCTTGACGAGATGGTGGAAAGGACCATTTTCTGGTTGACAATATCGAAAAGATAAAGCAGAAAAAAAAGAGACTATTAAATCGAGTCAACAAAATACTGTTAAAGCTAACATGAAGGCCAGTGATTCAACTTCTCCTTATACTGTCTTATAAATTTAACAAACCACAACTTCTCATGACAAAGGCAATTTTTAGGAGGAAAGAGAGAAAGAAAACGATAAATTAATAAATATTTGATAAATAAATGGCCAAAAATCCAGTCAAACGAGCGAGAGTTATTGGTCGAAGTATGGCTGCAGACGTTGTTTTCCAAAGGCAACATGAAAAATAAATTAAAAAGTCGTTACACACGACAACTTGCCAATAGAAAAGTATCAAAACAATATGTTCAGTATTTGGGCACATGTGATTATGCTGCTAACTTTCCACTGTCGTTAAATAAAAACTTCTCAGAACTTTCAAGACGGTATAAAGTCAGCAGATTATTTAGAGATCTTTCAACAATGGAATTAATTAGAATCTCCTCCGAAAATGAGGCAAGTAAAACTGATACAGAAATTATGTGCCTAATTACACACGAGATGGAGAACTGGTAAGCCGTATTTGAAAGGCTTAAATCCTTAATAAAAATTCATGGAACTCAAAATATTGCTTATCGTGGAATTCATGAGAAGCTTTTCACAACCGGAAATAAATATTTGGTCATGTTTAAATTTGTCAGTAAAAAAAAAAAGCTTGTATGTCGACTGTTGCTAGAAATTTCAAGTATTACTCGTCTGTATCCCCGGCATAAGCGACAGAAAACAGACAATGATTATCATTTAGGTAACCACACTTACTGGTACTACAGTGAACACACACGACTACTGTTTACTGTGTGTTCCGGGGCAGTCACGTTTTTGGATTTTATTCAAGCCATATACGACTATTGTTATGTCCACCGCAAGGAATCGAATCCCGAAACTTAGCGTTGCAAATCCGTAGACTTACCGCTGTTCCACCGAGAGACAGATGGAAACTACTGGCAAACGTTCGCAAGAACATCAGATTGGCTCTGGGGAAAAGTTGACAGGGATTAACCTATTCGTGATCCGCGGAAAAACTGCGAGGCCACCAAATCTCTTTAATTAACTAAATTGTCTACAGAGTCATTGATTCTATGGAAGTGACGTTTCAGCAATAAGACAACTTATTCGTTAATTCATTACTAACTTTCTGAAATACTGCGTGGCAAGTGAAGTTAGTACAACAAATCTCTGTAACGAGTTGTAAGCAGACAGTAAGTAAGTCCGAAACGTCAGTGTAACATCATAGTTTCCTTACACCCCTGCTTAAGTTTCTAATATCTCAACCTTAACATCAGCTTCGTGTCATGACATAAAAGACTGTTTAGTTTAGATATTATTGATTAATTTATTTTGAGTGATTATCTTATTGTTTAGTTTTGTTATAATAAGAGTTCAAAGCAGACGATTGTAGGAAGTTGTGTTTATAATTCATTGATGTCGAGATAATCGAATGTCGCGTGCAATACACCGACTTCAATAATATAGACATTTTGCCTTAATTTTTAGTAAATTTTAACAAATAAAAATATTAGTATTGTTCGTCCAGATTTGACGTTTTTTTCTTCTATCTTTGCTTCTTTTTAACTTGACATTTTCTCTCTCTCTCTCTCTCCTACAGTCAACAATTAACTGAACATATTGATTCTATCCACGATGTTTTTAGGTGGATTCATTATATAATATCCATGTCTCAAATAACTAAAAACAAATTTATTTCCATAATCAAGGTGTTAGGTACCGTGCAAACACTTATTTGTTTTACAAACTACTTTATAATACCGATTTCTTGCTTTACACCGAAATGTTACTAATCCCTGCCTACCTGTTGAAAGAAATCGTCAACATTGTGGTATTCACAGCGAGACAGGTGGCGTAACGTTTCTATTGCATTCTTTGTTTGTTCGGAATCCAATTCTCTGAACACATCTAGGTACATGAATGGTTCGTACCGATAGAAGACTCCTGGATAGTTGCTGAGCATTTCTCCAGAGAAGGTAGAACCACTTCTCCAGTAAGTCTGAAGTACAATAACTGGCTTCACTTGGCTCGCTGGAGATGGAAACTTTTCCACAGCAGCCACTGGTGTCGTGAGATCATTTCCTGAGAATTAAAACTTAACGTAATTCTCTACTTTACATCAATCAACCAGCGAAAATACAGAAAATTACAAAATTATTGTTATTATAATAACAATATAATATAATATAACAATAACAACCTACAACACTGACCTGCATTATTGACCTATAATAATAACTTGCGATAATAACTTACAGTACTATGTACAATATTGACTACAATAACAACCTACAACACTGACCTGCATTATTGACCTATAATATTACTATAATAATAACTTGCGGTAATAACTTACAACTATATATACAATATTGCCTACAATAACAAACTACAACACTGACCTGCATTATTGACCTATAATATTACCTATAATAATAACTTGCGATAATAACTTACAACTATATATACAATATTGCCTACAATAACAAACTACAACACTGACCTGCATTATTGACCTATAATATTACCTATTATAATAACCTGCGGTAATAACTTACAGTACTATGTACAATATTGACTACAATAACAACCTACAACACTGACCTGCATTATTGACCTATAATATTACCTATTATAATAACCTGCGATAATAACTTACAACGATATATACAATATTGCCTACAATAATAAACTTTTACATTGGCTACAATAATAACCTACAACACTGACCTATAATACTGACCTACAATATTTCCTATAATATAGAGTGGACAGGATGCAGCAACCTTCCTTGTGTGTGGTAAAGTTTCTTGAACAACTAAGATAGGTCTCAAATCTTAACTGTTCTGTCTGTCAAATACAGCAGCCGCTTTAACTTTTTTATTATTTTATCTTATTTACAAATGACCTTCATCTTCGTTGCACATACTACACAGCAACATATAAAACTTCAGCCTAATATACGGACCAAGTATTCTTAATAAATACTCACTTATATTAGGTATACAGAACTTGTGGGCTGGGTGCGACTAATTGATGAGTCCGATTACGGAGAAAACGTTCTCCACACTGGGGCCATATGTGTGCGCCATAGGAATATTTTTTATTTACGATTTATAAACAGAACCGTGAATAAGGTGGTGGCTCAGAAAGTGTTATTTAGGGTTTATGAACAGAACCGTGAATAAGGTGGTGGCTCAGAAAGTGTTATTTAGGGTTTATAAACAGAACCGTGAATAAGGTGGTGGCTCAGCAAGTGTTATTTAGGGTTTATGAACAGAACCGTGAATAAGGTGGTGGCTCAGCAAGTGTTATTTAGGGTTTATAAACAGAACCGTGAATAAGGTGGTGGATCAGCAAGTGTTATTTATTATATAAACAGAACCGTGAATAAGGTGGTGGCTCAGCAAGTGTTATTTAGGGTTTATAAACAGAACCGTGAATAAGGTGGTGGCTCAGCAAGTATTATTTAGGGTTTATAAACAGAACCGTGAATAAGGTGGTGGCTCAACAAGTGTTATTAAAAACAGTAATAATCTTAATATTGATTTCTACCCTTTTTTCATATCTTCTTTCACCTTACTCTAAAGATCCACCAAAAAATTTGGTACTTGAGAATCGGATATAACCTGAAGAAATACAAGTTTCATTCCCATCTCTGGGATAAGAATTTACATTAGTTTCTTCTCAAGACAGTGATTTCATTTTAAATAGGAAGAACTATTTCCTAAGTGAATAATTTCAAGTTAAGGTTTCATTTTAAAAAAATTACTTACTATTCACAGATTTCCATTTATTGTGTTCTTCAGCCAAAAAGTGCCTGTTGTCGATTTTAAGTACGATTACCTGAAAACACGATATCAATAAGTAGGTAACTGCCACTAGCCGTGTTACGTGAAGTAACCGAAAAGGTTTCAGCCAAGTAAGCAGCATACTCCACTGCTATTTTTTCTTATTCCATTGTTTTCGAATTTCATTTGCGTCTTTTTTTTATATTTTATAAATTAATAATTATATTGTACACGTAGCACCAGTACCATATTCCAGATGTCGTTCCAGTGCGAGAAAGCCATCTGCTCTTCAGCTTGAGCTACCTGTGACTGAAATAGCTACTCCAAGCTTTAATGTAAAGCATTTTGCTATAAAGTGCTCCGTGCTTTACAGCTGACGTCAAATTGTGACGTTTTTAAATTCCTCCTTCTGATATACACATGACGTTCTCGAATCAAGAATGACCTTATTTCGTTTGTTTCACAACGTGTCATTGAATCAAGTACGATAAACCTATATTGTTTGCAAATAATATTTAATGTTAATATAATTGAGAAGGACAACAATAAGTCTGTCAGAAAACTTACAATATGATTGTAAAGCTCTTTAGTAAGACATAAAATATTGTCTGCTTTAGTCAACAATAACAATGGAGTGTTCATTGTTGTGGATTGGCACCATTGAAAAGCAACTTATACTTTTGTGGCTTTTATTTCACCTTGTAAAGTTTTATTTTAAACCATTTGATTTCCACATTATTTGTTTATACAGAACCCTATACGTTTTCGGCTTGCCTTTCCCAGAGCTTTCTTCATGTTCGTATCGGTCATTGACATTGGTAATTTTTTTTTAATAATTTTTCTGTATAGGGTTATTGCTTGCAGAACTGGCTTAATGATCAATGCTTCCACTCTGAACATTGTTTCTGATTTGAGTGAATTTAAATTCTTCTGCATCGTGTATTATTTATCAAAATGAGATTTAATGATTATTTAGGTGTTTTTTCAAGCTAGAAGATGAGACAATGTTGACTGTCATGATGTCCCCACTACTTCAAGCACATACTCTGAACAGCTTATAAAAAAACGCTATTGGTTCCAACTCTATAGCAAGTCGGACAATCTCTCTGAAAGTTATCATTTACTTTACTTACTATAACCTTTGTCTTTCATCTTCAGAAAGTTTTGTGGAGGTTTCTCTATTTCTTTTCTCTCAATTTTGAACTTGAATTCAGCCATCTTCTTATTTCAAGTAAGTAAAAACATCATGATTTGGTTGGTAAGCACACCATCTTCCTAAGCACACCATCTTCCCTCTGAGAACTATTGTTGTGAACGAAACTTTCACGTGTACAGACAGATAAATATAAGTTCGACTGTATATTAATCTAAAATTAAATGTAACCATTCATCCAGCAACCAGATCCTCTTCCAATACATTACAAACAACTGGAGAAAATAACTTATTTGATAAATTCAAGTGTTTCGTATTGTGTACATTTACTCTGAAAAACCAGCTTCTATAGACAATCTGCAAATTGATGAAGTTCCGTTTTTGAACATATATTTATCGAACACAATTATATTTTTCTGTAAGTGAAGTTAGATCTACTGTTGTTTGGTGGAAAATAGGATTTTATTTAATGAAGCAATGTTAGTTCTTGTCTTTTAAAAAAGGCACTCTACTTGCAATTACTCGCGTTTAACCCTTTAATTTGCTGGTAAAGCTCTTGTTTGGTGTGCAGGAGATCCTGAAAATAGTTTCAAACCCCGCGAGAAAGAAAATTAACAGACAACCCCGAATGTTTTGATTATATAACTCATACTTTCCAAGCGAATTATCCTTAGATATTACAGTTACTCATCAAGTACAGTGTTTAACTGACTAACTGGAGCAGACTTACATAGTTAGTTAAAACCTTGTTTTGTTATGAGGAAACTGAGTTCTCTGTCTCCGCTCTAACTGACTAACTGGAGCAGACTTACACTGTTAGCTAAAACATACCAAAACAAGGAGGAAACTGAGTTCTCTGTCTCCGCTCTAACTGACTAACTGGAGCAGACTTACACTGTTAGCCAAAACATAACAAAACAAGGAGAAAACTAAATGCTTTATTTCCTTCTAATTGGCTATCCATAGTAGACATAATCAGCTAGAAGGTCAACATTTTCGTTATATTTGTTTACTTAAGTGTTATACAGCCATTGTACAGAATGCCAGATCTGTCAAAGTTAATCATTTTTAATATTGAAATATATGCTGAAGAATATTAGTTTGGTGGTAAAACACTTACCATCTAATTTAGAAATTTCTCTACCAAAATATGTTTTTTAATTTTTCTAACCTTGGCCTAATAAATACCTAATGTATCACATATTAAGCTGTAGCAGCTTTTGATGTGACAGTTACTGGTTTACCTACACATTCTGAAAACCTAACCTAATGAGTTTAATCCAGAAGTTCAAGAGCTTCTGAAGCAAAGTACCTGACATCCACATCATTATCTGTATTCAACTTACTAAGACAAGACTTAACCTGGTTCTGCTTTACAGCTTGATCTAAAACTGGTTCGAGCTTCTGAAATGTTTTAGCAACATTGAAGCGAACATTAGCAACAGAATCATTGGCCAAACTCTGGACTATTGGCAAGAGAAGCTTGTTGGTGATTTCTGGGCCACAAGCTTCACCGAGGACATTGATACAGAATAAACAAGTCATCCGATGAAGGTAGTTTTGGTCTTGTGACATTGATACAACTTTGGGGATTGCAGCTGTTTTGGCCCATTCTGGTCCAAACTTCTCGACCAGTTTCTTCAGGTTTTGTGTAGCTGCTTCACGGATTGCATACACATGGTCAACAAGCCAAGTCAGACACAAAGCGTTTAGTTTCTCATTAAAAAAGTCCATACCTAGCTGACTGGCCAGGAGTGGCATGTATTCAATAATAGCTAGACGAACTCTCCATTTGGAATCTTCTGCAAGTTCCATGATGGCCGGAAGCAGACTCTCAGAGAGCTGCTGGATCCCGATGACTTCGTTGACACAGTCGAGGTTAGAAATAATATTAAGTCGCACTTCTGGGCATTCATCCTTCAGTTGAGACAAGAACAATGGTAGTAAGTGTTCAACTGTGTTCTGTTTTCCAACAATAGGTGAAAGGCCCATTATGATGGAGGCAAGAGCAGTTTTAACATGCTGGTTAGGATCAGACACCAAGTTTCGAATACATGGCATTATGTTGTTCATGGCAACCTGCTCTTGAACATCAGTAGGTAGTGTCTGACAGAAATCTCGAATCTTCTGAGCAGCAGCAGCTCTGACTTCTGCTTCACAATCTTTCAGTAAGTTTTGAAAAGCTGGGACCAGATCTGCCTTAGTGAGCTCTGGACCCACAGCCTTCTGCAACTCTGTGAACTTATCAGCAACTGAATACCGGACTCTCCAGGATTTGTCGTTAACTAATTGTCGAAGAACTGGCATAATTAGTTGCTCTAAATCATCTGGTGGCAAAAAATTTGCAATGGATATGCACCCATCCACTGTTAGAAGCCTGACAGAATCTTGTTCATCTTGGGCTAAATTTGCCCATATGGGAATGAGCTCAGATTTAATAAATTCTGGCTCAAATACTTCAGCTAGTTCTCCCAGTTTGTTTGCTGCTGCTCGTCTAACCATAGGGGTATCATCTTGACAAAGACTTCGAAAATGGTTGCGTAACTCAGCTCTGTTTGAGTCAGATACCCGAGGATAACATACACCAAAAAGGCTACATGCTGACGTTCTTGACGTAAACCAATCTCCTGATGCAAGCCTCTTTACTAAGGGAACAAAATGCTGTTCTAACTTTTCTTGACTATGCTGATGGCATATATTTTGTAGTGATTCCAAAGCTTTGTCTCTTACCACAGTCTCTTCTACAGTTGCCAGACTTTCTAAAGGCGGAAGGAGTGTGTGCACATATTCTGGTCCACCAACAAGAGGCGTAAAAGTCCCTAGTTGTTCAGCAAGTGCTAAAAGAACTTCGTCTTCATCATATATAGTGTCGGTCAGAAAAGGTAGAAGTTCGGTTTTTGTACGTTCTGAACCTAGGGCCAGGGCGATGGTTGATAACTTTTTAATACTGTTCAATCTCAGTTGAACGTCTTCATTTCTTAATTCGTCTATCAATATTGCGATTGGATAAAGAGAATCTTCTGTAATTTCTTCCATTTTTGCGTCGCAAAATGGCCAATGTATACTTAACTTCGTCTGAGGGTTGCTTCAATACCCTAGTCTAATACTAGTAGAACTAGAAGTAGTATTACAGACTGTCAGGTCAAATAATTCTAACGTCAGTACACTAAGCCTACTCAGGTGATCATTTCGATGTACTTTGTACATTATTCGTTAGAGGGCGGAACAATATGGTTTAATTATACTTAAAATGTATAATAATAAATTCGTTAAACGAAATTAAATTACGTATAAAAAGTTATTTTTAAATATAGTTATTATGCGCAAGCCGAAACAAGATAAAAAATCACCAAACTGTATCAAAAGGACATAAAGTGGCGGTGAAGATAAAGAACTGAAATTTTTTAGAGAAATGATCCCTCATATATTAGAAAGAACGATCGAAAAATGTTTCGTACAATAGTAAAAATATCTTAAATTATCTGTGCATTTGAATTTATTAACAGAAGAACTACAGAAACACACAAACAAAAAAACAACAGAATTTTATCTTTAGACTATGTTTAAATTAAACGCATCAATCTCTTCTCCAGCATTGAATTTTTAGTTGTTTTTTTCCAGCGGACAAAAACAAAAACTCGGTAAATTTTCTGGTAGGCAGTTTTATACTTGATTATTAATTTCTGATAATCCATCCAGAATCATCATGTGTATTGAAACTTATATAATCTATTTTGGTGATATATTTTGTTCTTACCTGCACCAACATGTGTAATTTCATGAAGAAAGAATTCTTGAATGACGCGGAGACTCAATCTTTTCTTTGATTTTTTTAGAAGTAGTTGTGTAATCTATTTTAACAAACTACGGGATAAAGAAATAGAATAGTGAAAGTTAAAAATAATTCTGTAATTCTTTGTTAAAAGCTAAATATTTTTTAATTTTGTAGATTAGATGCTAGCTGGAAGGCGCATGACGGTAAGCTCGAAAAGTTTAATAATGTAGACCTAGAAAAGTATAAAAATTCTGGCGTCAAGTTTTCGAGTTAATTCGAGGAATAGATTATAATTAAATACGAGATTAAGTAAAGCATCGAATAGATAGAGTTGTTTTTATTTCAGTTAGTGGTGAATCAGACAATGTTTTGTTTTCAGCTGCTGGACCGATCAGTAGTTAAGTTGTACAAGTAAGTTTATTTTTATGCTGGTGAATTACAGTTAGCGTGGCTAAACGTGGTCTAGAAGCTACCACAATGTCTAACATTGTAGAAACATTAAAGGAGGAAATAAACTAATTTGCTACTGCTGCATAGACTGGATGTTGAATTATTTTCACTTTAGGCGGCAGGTGCTGTCAACTAGTTGCCTTCCCTTTGACCTACATTTCAATAGTAGGGACAGCTATGTATGAACTATAGAAGTCTCTGAACTAGCTGTTCAGACTGTTATGTGCATGAAGTATCGTTCAGTTGAACAAACACTCTTTCTGTAGAGTTTCATTTACCTGATGTTCATTATTGTATGCCATACTAGTACTTCAATAATAAAGATAATAATAGCTTGCTACAATTTTTGTATCCACAGATTCTTTAGTTGTTTTATATTATAATTTTTCATATTTTCCACTTAAAACAAAGTATGTACTGAGCAACTACGTTATTGTTGCTTTAATTAGTCTTTGTCTATAAAAGATTAGAGAATTTCGAGTTATTAAAGAAACAGAGTGTTTGTTTTCATTTCACCATTAAGAATAAATCGCCGAAAAAAGAAATTCTCCTTGAGCTACGAATCGTGTATTCCTTATTAGAAATTACAATCAATTTCACTTAAAGCAAATATTAAACAAAGTTCGTCAGATAAAGATAATTTTATGAAACCTTAAACAATAGCTAATAAAAAAAAAAACAGTGAAGGTGCTGACATAATGGTCAAAACGACTGGCTTTACTTTAAACGATTTTGATATAAATCCAAAGAAGTTATCTCATTTAATTTGAAATATTTGTTAATTATTAAAAGTATTATTGTCATAAAAATTATTTTCTTATTATTAGAAAGAAAAATTATGTACCGTACGACAGCAAACTACTGTTAATTGATTTAACATAAAGTATGGTTTATTGGATCTTTGGTGTAAGAATGAGGCTCTGTTCAAGGCTTAATCACCCCTCCACCTTCACGATGTATTGATACTCCATCTTGTAGTGAAGATACATCAACGAAGTTGGAATTAAAGATATTTGAATCCTGCGTATTAGCTTTCTTAAAATTTAAAGAGTACAAAAATCGTAAAATATGTTTTGTGACGTTTAAATGATTCAAATAAAAACATGTTATAGGTTTAGCGTTATGAAAACATTAAAGATTGAATAATAGTATAAGAATGTGAACAGTTTCCCAACTTGACCACTCCTTTAGTTTGTACCTGGCATGGCCTAGTGGTTAGAGTTCTTGATTCGCAATATGTGAGTCGCGGGCTCGAATCCATGTCACTGAACATGCTCGCCCTTTCAGCCGTGGGAGCGTTATATTGTGATAGTCAATTCCATTATTCGTTGGTAAAAGAGTGGCACAAGAGTTGACGGTGGGTGGTATTGACTAGCTGCCTTCTCTCTAGTCTATCACTGCTAAATTAGGGACGGCTAGTGCACATAGTCCTCGTATAGCTTTGCGCGAAATTCAAAACACCCCCAGTGGTATGTCTTTGGACTTTCAACGCTAGAAACCGGGTTTAGATACCAGTGGTGGGCATAGCACAGATAGCCCACTGTGTCGCTTTGTATCTAATTATAAACAAACAAACAAAATTAAAAAAAAACCTAACCTCTAGAATAGTCTAGATTATCTGTTTGTTTTGTTGTTAAGCACAAAGCTACACAATGGGCCACCTGTGCTCTACTCATCGCGGGCATCGGAACCCACTTTTTAGCAGTTAACCGTGTACATGTTGAAAACCTAAGCATCAGAAGCAGTATATTTTATCTATTGTTTTTTGTGCAACCATGGAAATAAGAAATTGAAATAACACTGTTAATATTTTCCATTATCAAATAACTAGTTGTTCTTACAATAACATTTTCAGAAGCTGTCCCGAAACACTTTATTCAGCAATGTACACTGTGTAATATTTATTCGATCCTAGTTAGATTCTCACTTCTAACATAAGATCATTTGATTTTTGGAATGTTCAGATATGTTGAGAGTTTCGGTTCTGGTGTATCTATCAAAAGGTATTAAACGTCAGCCAATAGGATGAAAATTTTCTAGTTGTTGGGTAGAATTAACCAACTTGTATCCCAATTTTTGTAACACGTCTTTACAGGTTCTCTGAATGGTTTGTATCTCTTCCCAGGGAAGTTCCCGCACCCATCGAAAGATGGCTTTGACAGGTTTTCTGTGGGTAGCAGGACTCTGGAGTTTACCATCGTGGTCGTAAAAAGTGTGAGTAAGCAAACTGTTAAGGCGCTTCCTCAAAAAGAAGTCTATCCGTGGATGATTAGGAAGTCCAAGAAAATTAAACAACTTCTTCGTGGTTTCGAATGGCCAAAGAGCAAGATCTTCGAAACGAAAATGAAAGAATTGCTGATGGTGTCGTTTTCTCAACTTTTCTGCAGCTTCAATATCCTTTCGCATGGCTTGACAAAGAGATTCTGGGTTTTTACAAGCATTACTAATGCACCAACGGAGTTTGTTTCGAGATGAAATGATGGCGCGTGGGTCACGAACAAGATTAATTATCTTAATGTGAGAAAATTCTGGGTCTTCTAAGAGCATCGCTAATTTAGCCAGTCGAAGCCGAATGATTTTGAAGACTAATCTGGAAGATCTTCTGCAAGCCTCAGAGAGAAAGAGTTTCCCCAGACATCGTTCGGTTGGTTGGTTCAAACATTGTTTGGGGTTGATCTGATACAGGCATGCCTCTGTAGGTTTTCGAAAGCAAGACCACGAACAGTTTCGGTAGCGAGATAAGGTGTCGCTGTTCCATTCTCCAAGACGAACCTAGCCAAACAAAAATGAATACATGTAAATATTTTATGCAAAATATGAAGTTCAAGAAAATGTTCAACTAAAGTTAAGTGTAAAGAAAAGTTGTCGAAACTTCATAACAGCTGAGTATGTACAAGTGTATTTTGTGTTCAAATTCCATTGGTTACTTTATTTCAGTGTTTATGGTGGACTAGTAACATGCTGTCGTTATCTTGATGTCAACAACAACATAAAATAGACTATACAATAAGTTTTCAAATGTTCTACATGATTTGTGTTTGGTATTTACAGCAATAATGTGGATCAGCGTTATCATATCGATAAAATAGAAAACTGCCTAGGGCAACCAAATAGAGGGGTTGCAAAATATAAATTTTGACCAATGAATTCATTTACCATGGCTTTAATGTCACCTATATTGTTATACTTTCGCTAGCTGAATACGTCTGCTCTAGGTAACCAATGAGAATGGATGAGGAGTGTTCATTTCCTTTTCTGTCTCGTTATATTTCTTCTAGCTGTGTATAACTGCTCCAAGCAGCCAATGAGAGCGGAGGTAGAGTGTTCAGTTCCCTTTCTGTCTCATTATATTTCTTCTAGCTGTGTATAACTGCTCCAAGCAGCCAATGAGAGTGGAGGTAGAGTGTTCAGTTCCCTTTCTGTCTCGTTATATTTATTCTAGTTGTGTATAACTGCTCCAAGCAGCCAATGAGAGTGGTGGTAGAGTGTTCAGTTCCCTTTCTGTCTCGTTATATTTCTTCTAGCTGTGTATAACTGCTCCAAGCAGCCAATGAGAGTGGAGGTAGAGTGTTCAGTTCCCTTTCTGTCTCGTTATATTTTATGTTTCTTTTAAAACATTTTTGTTACATTTACGTGCGCATCTACAAAACACTAATTGGATTCTAAAGTATTTTAATGTATCTTAAAAACATGTAAAATTTATAGTTTATTCAAGGGTCAGATACGTGGAGTTATTGAACATCAACTACATACACATCATGAATCCATAGGACTTGTTATAATTGTGTTTAATAGTTTACAAATTTATTCCAAAAGGAAATTGCCAAATGCTTAAGACCAAAGTTCCACACCAGTCAGGAAAGGCATCTGGGATAACAAAAAAATGCATCTTTATAAATTAAGAAATTAACTTTTGATCTTCATAGAGGGGGTTGAATAATTATGATAAACATATTTCATTAGACGTTTTTTTTTGTCATCAGAACAGAACTAGCAGGTATGTATGTTGTCATCAGAACTAGTAGGTATGTATGTTGTCATCAGAACAGAACTAGCAGGTATGTATGTTGTCATCAGAACTAGTAGGTATGTATGTTGTCATCAGAACTAGCAGGTATGTATGTTGTCAACATAATGTCTAGCAGTAGTTTCAATATTTTACCATAATGTCTAGCAGTAGTTTTCAGTATTTTACCATAATGTCTAGCAGTAGTTTTAGAAAGATACGAAGAAGTAATTCATAAAGCTTCCCTAACAAATGTTAACTAAAATAGTTAGTATGACTGCTAGTACTTATCTGTAGAAATGTGATTCAAGGTGAAACAAAGTATTTTAAGTAATATACACAAAAAACACTTTGAACTGTGACGATGAAGCTTAAGTTTAACATGGTATACTTCTAGACATCTAAAGAACGTCATTCATAAAAACATAAAAAAATACTGAACATTTTACAATAACACTCTTACAAAAATGTAATATGAAATTCAATACTTAAAGCATTGTATTCTTATTATAACAATAGAAAACACATAAGTACGATTTTCAATTTTTAATGTCCTAATAAACTACAGGTACTGTGTCTTAGTAAAAAAAAAATTAACAAAATCTGAAAAATAATGAAAATTGTAAACTAAATAGATCACAGTGTCTTCATTTTAAATTCAAAAGGCTTTGGTAATTTTCTGTATTTAAGCCTAGGTCAGTTTATCAAGTTAGAGAATCCGTTTAATTCTTCACTTCCATTGAAAACACGCTGACTTTTAACGTAGAAAAGTTTAATGTAACATTTTCTACCTCTCTATTTTTATTTACATTAGATAACCCTAAACCCAACCAAAATCAGTTGTGTGTTTCAATACTTTTAATGAGCATATGTCAAATAAAACCTTACTTTTAAAATTAATTTCAGTTATTGAAAGAGACCTGACACCAGTTCTATTCCAATGATTTTAAATACATACCTACTAGTTCTGATGACAACATAAATATGTACTAGTTCTGTTGACAACATACATACCTACTAGTTCTGTTGACAACATACATACCTACTAGTTCTGTTGACAACATACATACCTACCAGTTCTGTTGACAACATACATACCTACTAGTTCTGATGACAACATACATACCTACTAGTTCTGTTGACAACATACATACCTACTAGTTCTGATGACAACATACATACCTGCTAGTTCTGTTGACAACATAAATACCTACTAGTTCTGTTGACAACATACATACCTACTAGTTCTGATGACAACATACATACCTACTAGTTCTGTTGACAACATACATACCTACTAGTTCTGTTGACAACATACATACCTACTAGTTCTGTTGACAACATACATACCTACTAGTTCCGGTAAAATATTGAAAACTACTGCTAGACATTATGGTAAAATATTGAAAACTACTGCTAGACATTATGGTAAAATATTGAAACTACTGCTAGACATTATGGTAAAATATTGAAAACTACTGCTAGACATTATGGTAAAATATTGAAACTACTGCTAGACATTATGGTAAAATATTGAAACTACTGCTAGACATT